GGCGGCGGAGGAGGAGGTCTTCTCTGGGCACAGGGGAAAGGAGACATCACGAGCTGGGAAGGCGCCCACTTCCTGTGGGATGCAGGAGCGCCCCAGAGACGGGCCGTCAGGTGATGATGGACATCTCCTCCCGGTCCCTGCTCTCAGACACGGAGTTGATGATGCTTTTCAGGTACTTGATGAACTCCAGCCGGATCTCCTCAGGGTCCTCCTCGAGATTGGAGTGCACCAGCTTCAGCTTGTTCATGGGTGAGGCTGGGGAGAGAGAAGTGGCACAGTGGGTGGGCTTGTGAGGAGGGGCTGTGTCTAGCTCCCAGCGGCCAGAGACGTAGAGAAGCCAAGTTGGGGGGTTTTCATAATGCCCGCAACCAAAGGCTGCGGTGCCTGCCCTGAGCCAGGTTGCACCACCTTATGAGAGGATGGAGCCGCTACCAACTTTGTCCAGGTCCTCCAGGGCCGGGCCCTTGAACCAGAAAGGAAGAGAGGCTCTTTCGCTCTCAATTTGTTTCTGGGCCGTTTCCAGTCCCCCGGGCTCACTTTGTCATCTCTCTAATGTAAGGGCCACATGTGAATTGGGAGGTTGTTCCGGAGAGGAGGTCAGTCAGGAACATGCGTCCCCACCTACCAATTAGTGGCCAAGGCCAGGTCTGTCCCATCTTCATGTCCCCCTGCCTGTCAAGGGCCTACCTGCTGGCCTGGATGTCTCAGAGGGTCTTGCACCCTGGCAATGCATAGCACACAGTAGGGTCTCAGTAACTGGGGGAAGCTGATGGTTTCAAAGGTGTATGTGCCCAGCCACTCACTGGCCGGTCAACTCGGTAGTGACCTAAGTGGGCCAAAGCAGGCCTGTGTGCCACGAGATTTTCATGGGTTTGTCAGGACTTTCTTCTGAGGTGCCTCTGAGGGGACTTGAACTACCAACCTTTTAGTTAGGAGTCGAGTGCTGGCCCATTTGTACAACCGAGGGTCTCCCAAAGACACACAGAAAGACACACACCCATCCAACGCTCAAAACCGAGGCCAAACTAACCCAACTCACGGCCGGTGAGTCAGCGCCGACTCACGGCGCCCCTACAAGACAGGGTGGAACTGGCCCTGTGGGTTTCTGAGACTGTGCCTCCTTACGGAGTCAAAAGTCCCGTCGTTCTGCTGAGCAGCGGCTGGTGGTTTCAAACTGCCAACCTTGCGTGGGTAGCGCCCCAGCGCAGAACCCGGGGCTCCAGCAAAGCCAAGGTGCAAAGGGGAAATTCCGGGCTCCTTACGTAAAGACAGGTGTCCTCTCTCCCCTCCGGAGCCTGGCTTGTGGTGGGCAATTAGGAGACACTGGGCATCCTGTAAGAGCTGCTGCTGGACAAAGCACGAGTACCACATCTCGACTTCCTTCAGGTGGCTCGGCGTGTCGGCGTTGAAGATGATCACCACGCCGTGGGAGTCCTTCATCAGCGCCGGCCAGCAGGACTCGAACCTTCAGGAGCCGGAGGGAGGGGTGGGGGGAAAACACTTGAGATCATTTGGTTTCCAAGTGCGGACTTTAAAGGAAGGACAGCTCAGTAATCAAAGTGGGAGGATGACCTCTAATTGCTCCACGACCCAGGAGCTAAAGCCCAGAGAACAATTCGCATCCCATTTATGGGTTGGGAAGTGGGCTAGGCCTGGGAACCGGGAGCCCGGTGGGCAGCTGATTTTGAAACGGGGTGACGGACGCACACCCTCTCCAGCGCAGACCTACTTTGGGTCACCGCCACAGTCCCACAGCTCAAATTCGCAGGCGCCCTTGTTGTTGCCAGAGACATGGGGGTTCTCAAACTCCAGGATCCTGAGAAGGAAGAAACCACAGCCATGCCTCTACTTAGAAAACACCATTTTGGGGGTGGGGTGGGGTGGGACGGCAACAGCACACCCTGAAGGAGGGTAACAAGTGGGGGCTCATGAGGGAGGCAGGTTGGTCAGGGCTCACCTCACTCCTTGGGTGGGGTTGTACTCAGTGATGTCAGAAGATTCGGTGAGATAGTTGGCCAGGACCGTTTTCCCGCTCTGAAAATGGGAGGGAACCAAAGATCGTGGGTGGACAGGGGGAACAACATGAGAAAGGAGTCCCCTTTCCCGGGGAGCTGGCTTGGAAGCAGCTCTGATGGAGTGTAGACCACGGCTGCCCCGGGGTGGCTCTGCTATGAATGGGTGGACCTTGCTGCCATGCTCCGGTGTGGGCGTGGTGGGGGACAGCCTGGAGTGGGAAGCAGTGAGGGTGGTGGGCACAGGATCCCAAGCTTGCCTCTGCTATAGGTGACTGGACCCACCTCGGTTTCCCTGGCTGGTTCTCCATCAACTTATCAGCGAGCATTAGGAAACAAACAAACAAACAAAGCCCAAACAATTCCACAGCTGCCGTGGGGCTCTTTGTACTTGCTCCTCTCTGCAGCTTCCAGAACCCACAGTTTGTCATCAAAATGAAGTCCCAGAGAGGGAGGGGGGCCACTCAAGGATAAGGGCGGGCCAGAGGCTACACTGAGTCTCAGTGTAGCTTGGGACTTCTGCTGGCTGACATTGCCACACACACCGAAGGGCTGTTTGGCCTCTGAAGGTTTTACAAGACATGCACCTTATTAGACAAAAAGACACCAGGACAATAACAATAAACCTTCCTGCTCACCTCCACCCAAACCATCCCTCCGTCATCCGGCTCCCCTCCCAAGAGGCTCCATCTAAGAGTTATGTCATGAAGAGTCCTGGTGGTGCAGGGGTTAAGTGTTGCACGGTGATCCGCAAGGTCAGCGGTTTGAAACCACCAGTCTCTCTGAGGGAGAAAGACTGAGCTTTCTACTCTCATAAACAGTTCCGGTCTTGGAAACCCACCGAGGCAGCTCTACCCGGTCCTAGAGGGTCGCCATGAGTCAGCATCGACTTGATGGCAGTGAGTCTGGGTGTTTGGAATAGAAACTCCCTGACAGAGATTTAACCAGGTAAGAGGTTTTCATTTTGTCTTCCTCACTTACTGTGTTAGTCTGGGTTGACTAGAGAAACAAATCCAGAGTCACTCATATAGGTGTGAGTGTAATAGTTAGCTTAAGTAAAGCCATTTTATATAAATGTAATAGTTAGTCTAAGTAAAGCCATTTTATATAAATGTAATAGGTAGTCTAAGTAAAGCCATTTTATAGTAAGCAGCCATTCTGCACCAGACCGAAGGTGCAACCACAGGCCTTGTGGTATTCTTAGCAAAACCAGATAGCCCCCTCGTTCGTAGAACTGGCAACAGACTACCTTGTGCCAGGAAGCTGTGCTAAACCACATAACCGCAAAGTCTGCTTCTGTACCAGCTTTCTTGCACAGTCGCACAGCTCAACTGTTTGATGAAACCCTATAAAAGCCTAAGTCTGTCAGCACAGGGACCAGCTGATGGCCTCGTTTTATCTGAGCCTGGCTGGTCCCTGCGCAGGTTCTTTTTCTCCTTTCTGTCCCCTTTTAGTAAACTGTTTTCCTTCTTACCAAAAACGGAGTTGTTCTTGTCCGGTTCATGTACAACCTAAGAGAGAACTGTCTATCAAAGAGCAATTGTACACTAAGAAAACATCCTAGCCCAGTCCAGATCAAGTCCATTCGGCCTATATTATCCCATATGTCAACACTAGTCCATAAATTCTTCAGACTCATGCAGCCATGCAATGAAACTGAATGCAGGAAGATTACAGGCCAGTGAGTGGAAAGTCTTGTGGATCCAGTGGTGTGGAAGCATCTCAGCACTGGCGTGGGTCTCTATGTGGCTCCAGGGCTCTGGCTGCATCATTGTATCTCCATGTGGCTTGTCAGCAGAATGTCGAAGCAGAGAGAGTATCTGGCCTCCAGGGAGCTAGCTATTCATCTCCTTTGAGCCTCCAAATTGAGGTCATCCGGCTGCGACCAGACTGACAGGTTAGACTCCACCCTTCGCAACTTGACAGGAGATAAGTAATGCCACACTTAGGAAGTGATCCGGAGGTGGACAGTCACGCCTGTGCAGCTAGCTGCTCCGAGAGCAAGGGCTCCCTTTCCTCCTGTGGAGAACCTTGGCTTGCCTGTCTATTGAGTTCCTTCTTTGCTTTCCCGAGTTAAAATGATTCATTCTGTACTCTAGCTACTCCTTCCTTCTTTGTACTAGATCTTTCCGATGCTTTCCTCAGGATTGAAACATCACCGTCATTTATTTGACGGCTTCTTCCTTTTGGGGGGGCTCGTGCTTAAGACCTTCCCAACCTCAAGGTTAAAACCCTGTCTTTCCCCCTAGCCACCTGTTGTGCTCTTCACAGTTGCTGACTCACAGCAGCCTGTGTACCACGGCGTCACATGAAACCCTGCGGGCTCTGTGTCCCCATCACAAACTGCAGCCGTTGAGCAAATGTGGCCAGTCTAGCTCACTGGAGACTTCCCAGGCCTCTGTTGGCCCCCTACTTCACCAAGCAGGAGGCCCTCCTCTAGCGACGGCTACCCCGCCTGCGGCCCCCCCACCCCCCCTGTCCCAGGCTGATGGGTCCAAAGTATGCAAGCCAGACAAGGTTCCCTTGTGGTCTGTAACGTTTCCAGTGGTTCATTGTCAAGATCACCAGGCCTTTCTTCCCCATCTGTCTTTGCTTGGAAGGGCCATTGAAATGGACAGGTGGTGGTCTGTCCATCTCTCACAGTGGTCATCACCATAGGGGCCCGGGAGCAGCAGCAGCAGGGCACGAATTCCAAGTGTCACCTCTTGATTCCCTCCCCAGACCCAGGTGTGAAGATTCTGGTGGGTGGGGGAGGGAGGGAGGGAAAGGGGGAGGGAGGGTAGCCACCTGGGTTTTAAGCCCTCCAGGTGCTTCTGAAATGTGAGTACCTTTATCTACTACTTCTAGTTCTTTTTAAAACATTTAGCATGTTGTTGTTTTAGGTGCTGCCCAGCCCAGTCTAACTCTGTGACCCTATGCCAGCGGTTCTAAACCTGTGAGTCACGACCCCTTTGGGGGTGTGTGTGTGTCAAACGGCCCTTTCACAGGGGTCGCCAGATTCATCACAGTAGCAAAATGACAGTGATGAAGTAGCAGTGAAAATAATTTTATGGTTGGGCGGTCACCACAGCGTGAAGAACTGTATTCAAGGGCCGCAGCATTAGGAAGGTTGAGAACCACTGCCTAGGTGGTAGTTATATCATCTGTTGTCAATTTGAGACTTAAGAGTGAAGGGATGGAGTTTAGCCTGCCAATCAGGTGACAGCTTGATGATCTCATTTGGAGGTGTTAAAGAGATAAATAGCTCCCCGGAGGCAGGAGAGATACACGCTCACTCCCTGGGAGATATTCCTGAGGACAAGACACATGGAGCTTGCTAGAGCCGTGGTGCTGAAGGAGCCACGTGGAGACCCTTGCCATTACTGAGATGTTTATACCGCCACTGGATCCACAAGACTCTCCACCCACAGGCCTGTGATCTTCCTGCATTTGGCACCATTGCATGCATTATGTGAGTCTGAAGAGGAATTTATAGATTGGTATCGGACATATGGGCTAATATCAGACTTAGGGACTTGATCTGGACGGGGCTGGGATGTTTTCTCAAGATTCAATTGCTCTTGTATATAAAGCTCTTTCTTATACACATATGATTGTCCCTGGATTTATTTCTCTAGTTAACCCAGATGAACACACCCTATATACAACAAAACCCCATTTCTAGCCAGTGATCTGCTCACAGAAACCCTGTGTTGGGTTTCCCACACTGTAGGTTTTTACTGGAGCCGTCAGCTTCCTCTCCTATGAGCGGCATGTGGACTTGAACCCCTGACCTTTCAGGTAGCAGCAGCTCAAGGCCTGGCCGGCAGTGTCACCAGGGCGGTTTGTGATACGTGTGTATTCATCCATGTATGAAAACACGTGTGAATACACGTGTACACTTCATCCCCGTTAACACCACCAGCGTGGGGAAAAGAGGCGTTCTGATCCTGTCAAGCGTGGTGGTCCCTGGAGAAACATACGTCAGCAGGATGGCGCTGAACCCAGCCGGGCTCCCCACATTGGCTGGAAGTTGGGCTGACTTTGGGCCTATCTCATCAAGCGACCTAATGGAGACGTTTCCGAGTAGAAAAGAAGAAATGGGTTGGAATAAGCTATGGAAATACTGATGCAGGATGCTCCCTGCAGGGATTCTTCTCGATTCACCAGTCTTTTGGATGTAACAGAGAGAACAGTTTAGGGGAGTAGATATCGTTCACACTTGTGCGTTGCATGATTAGGTAACACAAAAATATTTTGTGTTCTTAAAAACAACAACAACAGCGTCATGGTCCTGGAAGCTCCCAGGGGCACAGCTCCAGCTTGTCCCGCAGGGGGGCTGTGCCTCAGCAGGGCGGCGATGGCCGTGAGTTTGTCACCACCAGCTGCTCTGAGGGAGAAAGCTGAAGCTTTGCGCGCTGGGATTGGCCGCAGCCTTGGAAACCCACAGGGGCAGTTCTCCTGGCCTCCCTGGTGGCGGCGAGGGAGAATGGGCCGGCTGGCAGTGAGTTTGTTTCTGTGCTGGATCGCCAGCACGCAGCCATTGGCTTGCTTCATTCCCGTTGTCTTCAGGGCGCTTCGCAACGTTCGTGGGGAAATTCCATTCTCTCCCAATTCCACTTTCCCCACCAACTTTCGGGCGCTTGCCCTCCATCTCCGGGGGACAAACTGGGGTCGCAGAGGGGAGGGTCAGGTCACCCAGGCTCCGCCTCTGATGAGTGCCCCTAACTGGCCTTGGGCCTTGCGGCCCGAGTCCCACGGGGTTCGCGCCAGCCTTCTCCTTGGGGCCCCGGCTGGGATCCGGTCTGGAAGCGCCAGGTTCACCGTTGGGTGGGCCTGGGACACACGCGGACGGGCGCAGGTGGAGTGGGTCCCTGTCTCTCCCCGCCCCCGCCCCCGCGGTGTCTCCCAGGCAGCATCAAGAACGCGAGACCGCGCCCTGCTCCCCAGCTCCGGGCGCCACCCCCATCGCCACCGCGGCCCCGGGCCCCCGGCCTCACCTCGCAGGGTCCCACGAAGAGGATCTTGGCCTTCAGCATCGCCGTCCGTGGCCGGCGGGCCTGGCGAACGCACGTAGAGCCGCCGGGCGGTCGCGGGGGAGCGGAAGCCGCGCCGCTGATTGGCGCTCCCGTTTCCATGGCGACCGGGCGCGGACCGCAGGGGCCGACGGGACGGGCGCGCCTCGCCCGCGCCTCGCAGAGAGCTGGCTCGGGCTCGGGGTGGAAGGCGCGTCCCCGCAGGGCAGCGGGCGCGGAGCGGGCAAGAGGGGACAAAGCCCGACCCTATGGGGCAGGGTAGAACTGTCACTGTGAGTTTCCGAGACTAACTCTTCGCAGGGGTAGAAAGCCGGTCTTTCCACTGCAGCTGTTGTTGGTTTCGAACCGCCGACCTGTGTCACCCCTACCCACCAGGGCCCTAGGTATCTGGTAATGTAGAAGGGGCTCTTTGGGAAAGTCGAGGGGCTGCGGAGAGGAAGACCCTCGTTCGACCAGGTGGATGGACACAATGGCTGCAACCATGGGCTCAAACCTAAGGTGGTGCTGGACCCGGCAGTGTTTCGTTCTGTTGTGCATAGGGTCCCATTGGGTCGGAACCCACTCCATGGCGCCTAACACAAAGGACATTTGGGCAAGGAATCCTGGTGGCACAGTGGGTTTTGAGCCAGGCTGCAAGGGACCCCCAAGCTGCTCTGTTCTGAGGGCGAAGGATGTGGCAGTCTGCTCCTTAAAGATTTGACTGCAAAAGAAAAGTGTGTGTAGGGGGTTGGTATGGGGGGAGATATGACTAAGAGGATCGTGGGTTCTCGCCTCATTTAAGGAGTCCTGGCAACACAATAGCTAAGGTGCAGAGGTTTGCCCCCTGCAGGAGACATGGCAGTCTGCTTCCTGAAGACTGACAGCCTTGGGAACCCTATGGAGCAGTTCTACTTTGGACATGTTGCCCAGTCCCTGGAAAAGGACATGACATTTGGTAAAGTGGAGGGTCGATGTCAACGAAGTCCTTTGAGGAGCTGGATTGATATCTTGGCTTCAATCCTGGGCTCAGAGAGAACAAGGGTTGGCCATTGTTTAGGACTGCCATGAGGCGGGACTTAGCCAACATCTATTAACAACAAATTGTGAAACACAGTATCACCCCAGGCCTAGCGATCTCTATCCTAAGAATCTACCCACAGGAACTGAAAGCAGGAACACAAAGCACAACTTGTACATCATTGTTGATCGCAGCATTAGTTACCATAGCCAACAGGTGGAAGCAACCCAAGTGCCCATCAGCACCTGAATGGATTAAAAATATGGTATATTTAGACAAGGGGATATTATTCAGCCAGAAAGAGAAATGAAATACTGATGGATACCTCCACATGGACGAACCTGGAAACACTGGGCTGAGTGAAATAAGCCAGAGACAAGAGGACAAGCGCTGTAGATCCCCCAATTCCAACCCGCAGTCCTCGTCGATCTGGACAGGAGCAGAAAGCCTCAGCTTTCCGGGTCTGCCTGCTGGCCTTGATGTTAGTCAGTAGCCCAATCCACAACCCACGACACCATCAGGCTCCTGAGAAGAAATACCTAGACCGGGTAGACTCTAGTGGCCGCGCCCATGGCCGGAAGCATAGGAACGATGGTGCGGACGGTGCAGGACCTGGAAGGGTTTCATTCGGTCACACACAGAGTCGGAGTGGGTTGGACCCACATACACCTAACGACAAACTGCAACAAAGTTTATTAGTGAGAGGGAGGGGGAGGGCTCCGAGTTTCTGTTCACGGTGGTGCAGTCATCTGGAAATGGCTCGTGGGGATGGCTGCACAACCTGATGAACATACTGTGTAGAAGGCTGGCCTGGCAAATGTTTTATATGTACATAGAAATTTATATGTACATAGAAATCGATATTATACAGGAATGTTTATATTTCTACATATATAAAAACAAAAACATGTTATGTATTACATATAAACATGCAGTACATATATAACCTAAAATTTTAAGGTGTATATATAAAACAAAACAATCATATATATAATATATAACAATTGTTATATACATCTAACAATTACAGGAGCCAGCTTATCATTTTTGATAAGGTGGTGAATCCTAGGAGTATGGATACAAATTATGTGAGCAATGCAAGTATGAAAGCAAACACCAAGATAAGCCCATGATCTCATCGTTCACTTTGAGTAGGAGTCTCGGAGTCTTTGTATTATGAAGATATGCTGAGTGAACTCTAAGAAGGAATCCTCACTTTCGGAATGTGATAGTTAACGGGCTGATGAAAATATCTTGCAAATTCCTACTTTATATCAGGCGTTCTTTGAGATACTGGGGGTGTATGCCTGTGCTGCTTTGATTCCAATGGAATAGATAGATATAAATGAATAAGTGAATACATAATGTACTCTCAAGTATTAAAACTACAAAAACAAACCAAGTTCACTGCCATGGAGTTGACTCCAACTCATCGTGACAATGGAGGACAGAGTAGAACGTCCCTGGGGCTTTCCGAGACTGTCTATCTTTACAGGAGTAGAGACCTTCATTTTTCTCCCACAGAGCAGCTGGTGGTTTCGAACTGCTGACCTGGTGGCTAGCAGCCCAACTTTAGGTAGTGGTTGGTGGGTTAAGTCCACCCCGAAGCATGTCAGAAGAAAGGCTGGGTGATCTGCTTTTGAAAAAATCAGCCATGAAAACCTCCGTGGAATACAGTTCGGTCACACGTGGGGATTGTGCGGAGGCCCTCCCCCGTGCTATGAGTAAGACAGAAATCAATCTGGCGTCTTCAAGGAATGGCCCCAAGGACTTGTGATGCGGATGCAGAAAGACCAGAGGGAGAAAGGCCAGGTGCAGCTGGAAGAGGATGTGCGCCTTTGGGGATTCGTCCTAAGGGCGATGGGAAGCCTGTGCCAGGCTTGCCTTTGGGTGCGAGTGATAGAGATTACACCCCAGTGACCTAAGCAGGGGAATGTTCATCTTCTCTTAGAGATGGGCATTCAAGAACGGTACAAACTGCTCAAGGAGCAAGGCCTCTATTTCCTTCCTGTGCTGACCCCTTGGATGTGATGACGGCTTCAACTTTCAATGAATAGTTGCTTTCAAGATCGTCACAAAAGAGAAGAGAAAAGATAGGGGCTACCATAACACCCCCCTTATCAGGAAAATAGGAGTTTCCTTAAAACCCCTAGCTAATGATTCCCAACAATAGCTCATTGGTTAGAACTGGGGTGCATGGACTCCTTAACTGCAAGGGAATCTGGAAAATATAGACTTAAATTCTCAAGACGAGAGGAGGGGGGTTGACATTGGCTGAGAAGGCAACCCAAAAGGATGCTGACTCTTAGTCCACATGGCAGTTAGATTTACACCAGCGTGCACTTATGGGAGGTGTGGAGTCCAACCTGCCAATCAGGTCACAGCCTGATGGTGCCTCCCTGTGGGTGTGACCTCCTCATAAGGAGGGCCCTGGGAACCTACCCCACTCTCTTTCACTTTCCTGTTGACGCCATCTAGAGACCTGCGTGAGCCCCGAAGATGCGTCCACAGCCATTGGATCCATAAGACTTTGCACCCACTGCTCAGTGATGTTCCTGATTTCTGCATCATTGCGTGTGACTTCGTGAGTCTGAAGAGGGACTTATGGACTAGTATTGAACTTACAAACTTGAGTTGGATTGGGTTGGGCTCTTTTTTTCTTAATCGTTTTATTAGGGGCTCATACAACTCATCACAATCCATACATACATCAATTGTGTAAAGCACATTTATACATTCACTGCCCTCATCATTCTCAAAACATTTGCTCTCCACCTAAGCCCCTGGCATCAACTCCTCATTTCCCCCCTCCCTCCCTGCTCCCCCCTCCCTCAT